GTGAGGTATTAACATGTAACTTATTCAGCTAGCGCTATAACGAAAGTATGCATCAAAGCGGTTTCTATCAATATCAAAACATGCCTCATAACTTTAGCATCACTGCAATAAGGTTACGTTTCTTTATGAAATTTAGTGGTTGTAAACTCTAGAAAGCAGATAGATCATCTTATATGGTACAGCATTGCCCGCCTGTATGTGACACGACATCATCCAACGCCAATCCTCTAAATAAATAAACCTTCTAAAGCTTGGCCTTGGTGGCCGGCTCCGCGTTGATCTCCTCGTACATCTGGTCGATCTGCGTCCTGAACGCCTTTGCGGTTTGCGGTCTCTTGAGCTTAAGACTGTTCGTACTAGGTCAGCAGGTGTCCATGCCTAGTGCTAATAAGGTGGTTTCCACTTACGTAGGTGTCAACAGCTCGTTCTCGATGCTGAAGGGGTCGATGGTGAGGTAAACGCTGCGCACACGCTCGTAGCTGTTGAACTTGTGTTTCTTGCCAATCCGGTCAAGCTCTGCGAGCAGGGCCTTCCTGACCTTGTTGTCCGCGCCAGCCGCCTTGATTGCTGCAATGTCGGTCTTGTCGATGGTCTTCTTCAGGATCTTGCTAGCAAATGGCGCAAAGTTCTCGGGGTCGACACCAAAGACAGCCACGAGCGACGACTGAGACGGGTCACCGTGGACATATGCCATGGCCAGCAGACTGCAGCTACCCAAGTAGACGTTTTCGATACGCTCAGGCGAGATGTACTCTCCTTGCGACAGCTTCAGAACGTTCTTCTTGCGATCGACGATCTTGAAGCGACCCATGTTGTCGACCTCGGCAATATCTCCAGTATGGAACCAACCATCTGCATCGAGGGCCTTGCTCGTCTCCTCCTCGTTCTTGTAGTACTCCTTGAAGATGCTGGGACCGCGGAGGAGAATCTCACCACGGGGGTAAGGCTTGTCTGTGACGAAATAGTCAAAGTCGGGAACCGACTCCAAGCAGATCTCGTTGCAAGAGGCTGGCGGTCCGATGTTGCCGAGTGTGAAGTCGCCCTTCAGCTGAACAGTCGAGACGGCGTACGTCTCCGTCAGGCCGTATCCCTGCACAAAGTGGTTGCCGAAAGCCGCGCGCAAGAACTCGTGGACGTCAGGATCCAGCTGAGCGCTACCGCTGACCATGCTGTGCGCCTTCTTGAGGCCGACAGCAGCACGAACCTTGGGGGTCCAGATTCTGTCGTACAAGAAGTGAGAGTTGCTTGCCTTGCCAACGGGCTGCTTCATGTTGGCCTTCTTGGTGCTGACAACCTGGCGAGACAGGGATCCCTTGACACCGTCTGCGTCAATGGTGGCAGTTCGGATGGCCGAGTTGAAGCGGTTGTACAGGCGGGGAACAGACATAAACCCTGTGGGCTCGAGAATCTTCATGTCGTCTACCAGTCCAACGATATCGCCGCGGAAGAAACCGATGCAAGCGCCCTCGGCCAGAGCGGTTTGGTCGACCATTCTTCCGTAAATGTGAGCGAGGGGCAGGTAAGAGATGTGCACGTCCTTGTAGGTAACGGTGCCGGCGGATCTCGCGGCTGTGAGGCCTGCAACGGCGTTGCCGTGGGTCAGGACAACACCCTTGGGCATACCGGTAGTTCCAGAGGTGTAGTTGATGGTGACGTAGTCGGTCGAGCGTGGGGGGCGCATGGGGCGACCGGACTTGAGGCCGAGCTCCTCGACGCCAGCCATGGAGTAAATCTGGATGCCATTCTGGGCAGCGATGCCGTTCAGAACAGACAGCTTGGAGTAGCCAGCCTGTTCGCCATCGTCGAGGGAGTCAAGGCACACAATGAGCTTGAGTGATGGGAGGCGCGGGGCAAGCTTCAGCAAGACGGGGATGTGCGGCAACGAGGTAGCTACGCAGGCCAAGTTGGCGTGGTTGATGATGTATTCGGTCGTGTCGGGGCCGAGGGTCTCGTAGAGAGAGACGGTGAAGAGAGATTGGGATGCAGCACCGAGATCTAGTAACTTTGAGTCAGTATGCAGTTTGCGCCTCGTGCTTGGCATGTGACAGTCAACGTACCGGCAATGTGCCACTCGGGGCGGTTTTGCGACCACAAACCGACACCGTAGTTGTCGCTGGTGATGCCAATCTTCTGATGAATCTCAATCAGACCGGCGCCGAAGTTCTTGCGACGCTCGGCAACCTGGGCATAAGTAGCCCAGGTGTACTTGTTCTCCCAGTCCTTGGTCGCGGGGTTCCATGCTCGGTGACCCAAGCACTTGGCGTTGGGACGCTTCTTGGAGGACTCCTCAAACAAGTCGTGAACGGTCTGGACCGCGGGATCAAAAGTGGACAGCAGAGGGCCGTCGCGGAAGCGCCAATGGCGGTAAATGGCACTGCGGCCTTCCTTCTCGGAGCCTGGGATCGGGACTCCATAGGGCGAGCCGGGAGGCGGCGGGTTAGCCAGCTCCTGTATGTATGCGGCGGTGTCTTTTGTGGGAGCCATGTTCGCAGCGACAGCGGGAATCTGTGGGGGAGTGCTTGCAGCCGACGACTGTTGGTTACGTTGCTGACGGACGATCTACCTCGATCTCGCTGCCAATTCGTTGGGGGCCCGACGGTGCAGCAGGATATGGCGCAGAGAAGTAAGACTAGATGCTGGGGGCCTGGTGAGATGGAGGCGATGTGCGGGAGGGGAAGATGTGAAGCTCGTTGAAAGGTGTCGGGACGGAAAGGTTTTGAAAGGAGAAGAAAAAAGTTGGAATAAACAGAAGTAATCCGTCCGAGAAGGATTTCGGGACAAACGAGGGGGGGAGCTTGTCTAGGTAATTCAAAGTTTTGTCTACAACGGAAGATCGAGTCGAGCCAAGTGCGCGTCGAAGCTACTCCGTACGGGGGATTCGGTTGTCGTTTCTTGGCCTCCAAGTGAGAAGGTGCAGGAAACGGAGAGACGATCCAATGAGCGAGGCCGAGTTTGGGAGCGTAGGCCGAGGCACAAGCCCCCAGAAGGGCGAGGGTGCCACTCAAAGGTCTCAAGGTCCTCGGCAACCCCAGATGGTGAGTGCGCTAAGGGGACCACTACAGCTGTTGAAGGGTGCTGATTGGCACCAGGAGGACCCGCCAAGGGGGCGCTGGATGCAGTGGCTTGCGGGGGCGCTGGGGGGCTGGCGGTGGAGGGAGTGGGAGCTGAAGCTGGGGGTTCTGGGTCGGAGATTCGCAAATAATGGGGAAAGATACCCCGTGGTTTCCGTCATGACCTCACAGCAAAGTGTCCACGTGGAGGAATGCGTCTGCTGTTGGCCGTGTGGCCATGCATACTACCTACCTTACCTTATGGGTGTATCTACGGGGCAGGTAACACAGTATTGCCAGCCATGTGGTGAGACCTGGCCTGGAGAGACCCGAATCAACATGTGAGTTACACCAGGCCAGCCTCCTTGTTGTGATAAGCTATGAGGTATTCGTACGGAGTATTTCACAGTTCGTAAGCTCAACAATGACAGTGACATCTTAGCGGGGTTATGCATATGGGGGAGGCTTAATTTCCCAGCAAACGGGGATCAGTCATTCACCCACTCTTTACAGGTAGATCCCCGACAGCGGAGCTGTCATCCGTCACTTCCCCTGAGCACCGAATACTAATCGAAATCCCCTGCTATGCAATTGAAAACAATAACTACCTTTCTTACTGTCTTCTGTCACGACTATGAAGCTCATGATATTGCTGATCTTCAGTATCAACCATGTCAATTCGTAGGATGCTGTCAATGATGCACGCACTGAAGAGATGGTCAGTCTGTGAAGGGGACTAGCAGGTCGGATTTGTCACATGCCAGAGCTGTGCTCTCAGTCTCAGGTCCGGGCGCAGGACAGCTGTCTTACTCCGGGCGGAGGTCATTGGACACCCGTACCCGAAAGGGCCGAACAAGTCCGGGTCCCACCTGCCACCTTACAAGAAGACCGCCCGCCTGGAGCCGCAGTGCCGCACCAGCGACAGGTGGAAGCCGCAGGAACAGGTGCCGAAGTTCTGCCAGCTTTCTCTCCAGCCTCAGGTGCCTCCAGTTCCTGTTGGGCGGATGGCGAAGGGTGAATTCCGAGAAACTTGCCCCAAGCTGAGCACGTTGCGCCAACCAAGTGCCCGAGATCTTGCTAACGTGTAGCTGGCCAAGCCCAATTTGCCTTTTGTCAAAGTTGAAATCTTTTTTTTTGAGTCTATCTGTGAAGAAGAGATGCAAACTGATGCAAGCTCTGGCAGAAGAGGAGAGTTGCTAGTATTGGCGTACACAGTAATTGCCTACCTTATATTTGTACGCACCCAGCTGGCCCTCCTAGGTAGACCAGTGCGGTCGGGAGAGCAACGAAGCGCCTGGTACCTTGGTGCGAAGCAAGATTACGACACTCAAAAGTCATGATGCTGCCCCTGGGTTTCTTGCCCAAGATCAGCGCAGCATTAAAATGGTATTCCCGGCTGACAACTGAGTGACAGACATCAGCTACAGGTACGAATAAGCCTACGACAGCTTTGACGTGTCAATTGTAAGAAGACGCTGATGATACAGAAAACGGCTCTGGCGGGACTAGAGAAACACAAAACAAGTGTCTACGTTTTGGATCACGTCCGATCAGTGTGTGCTCGGGTGCCGATTGCATGCCTCAGGAGTATAAGTTCTGGGATGACTCGTATGGGCTTCGGGATGACACGACGTAGGCCAGCTGTTCTTTTCAGACTGCCATTTCTGAGAGTCTCGGAAACACACAGAGAATCAGAGTCTCGTGATAAGAGGGGAAGACGTGGCTAGAAAGCAGCGAGGGCAGGCCGGCGTTGTTGGCTGGTCCGCACTACATGGCCAGGGTGTGATCTCCGTGGAAGTTTTTCGTTTCTTCGCGTATAAATACGCTACTAATAATATCGAAACAAGACATGCAGATAAAGTAGGCGAGTCGGCCACAGAACCCATATGTGGAAATTCAGTAGTGTGTTGCTTTTGTAAGTCGGACTGATACGGCACGGTTCTGAGCAGCTCAGACTTGAGAATGTTCTTTCATGCGGCGAAGAGTGATTTGGGCGGAGATGTAGTGATCAGGCGAATTCCATATGGGCTGCCAAGAAGTTGGGTGCTGCGTTGAGGCTCTACGGGTGGCAGAAATGGACTCTCCGATGGTGGCCAAGAGTCTGGAGAGCGTCCGATGCAGTGCCAATATTATGGGGGAACCCCATACAGTCGGCACCGAGGGTGGAGGATGAGCGGATGGTTTCGATGCCCAGCAAATCCAAGCCTTTCTGACATGATGTCTGGCGAGGCGAAGCTTTGATAGAGTAGCAGTTTCGAGGCTGGCCAAGTCGGCAGAGGCAGCCGCTGTTGCAGCGAGTCGTGAGACAGGTCGGGGCCGTCGAGGGTGGACTCGTGGAGGGGGGCAGAATGGCGAGTTTGACTGCGCAAAGACCCTGCAGAAGTATAGAAGAGGCAAGATGTGTCAGCAGGAAGCAGCAAGGAAGAAGGGAATGCCAAGAGTATGAAGAATCTGTCGAGGGAGAATCCTTGGCAATCTGAGTATCGGACTGAGTCTGGGAGCAGGTTGTGCGGCGTCTCAGCAGCTTTTTTAAGAACAGCAAAGTGTGGTTGCGGAGTGGTGGAACGTGGAACAGAGAGACGACAGAAGCGACGACGACTTTGGGGCCCTTGGGGCCTGCATTCGCCTGCATGTCCCCGGTTTCCCGCATCGGTAGGTGACGGGAGGCCCCTGCGGATGATACGTGAAGCCAAGATTTCCTCCCCCAGGTGGTGCCTGCACGTAAGGCGATGTATCCGTAGTCTCTTATTCGTAGTGTATCCCGTACGGAGTGAGCGGTATGGATGGTACATCGTTGCTGCTGTTTCGAAATCCCCTGACACTAGCTCATGTACAGAGAAACTCGGGCGGCACCCTTGGCGTTGTAACGTCCGCCGTACTGTTTCTGCCGTAGATCTTCCATGGCGCTTGGCTTGACAAAACGTCCATGTTCCCTCTCCTGAGTCCTGAGTGCGTCAAGTGCTTCAGAGAAAGAGGTCCTGCCGGTCTTTACTAAGCACACCTCAACCGACGGGAGACTCTAGCTGGGTAGGTACGTACCCACGTACCTTAAACTACCTTACCTACCTCAGGTATACTTCGCGGCAAGAGACTTCCATAGCTCTTGGCTCTTTCCCTGCCCGGACAGATAGACTTGACAGGGGAGGAGCGTTGGAGAGTTTGGCAACCCACAACCCGCCCGCTAAATGGGAATCGTGAGGGTCTCGAAGGAGGCAGGAACGGGGTAGACCTGGTAGCGAGGAAACAAGATACGTTCGGACATTTTTTTCTCTTAGGTTCTTTCTGCAGTTTACGAGTCCCATCCATCTGCATTCCCTTTTGCGGTTTCCACCCCATTCATCGTCCTCGCCCTCGTCTGTGGTCTCGTCGCAACGAAGCCAAGCTCCAAATCCCGTCCACACTTCCATTGATTCCCATGACCTACCTACTCTTCTTGCTACGTTTTGCCAGTCTACTCTAGTCCCAATTTGTTTCAACACCCACAACACGAGATGGCCCGTCGTCGAAAGTTCGGTGACACATGCTGGGCCCCGGGCGAATCATGCTTGGCATCTTGAGACTCGCTGCTCTTCAGCCTCAAACCCTCCGAGTCCTGAGCCTCTGGCCTGCAGACTCGCGCATCTGCACCAGCCTGCCATTGGCCTTGGTAGGCACCTTGTGTAGTCCCGCAGACACAGTACATGCCGCCTCTCTGTGTTTCTCAATCTGAAGATCTCGCTCCAGCCTTTCACCTCAAGTCTGCCAAACCCACCCACACCTGTCGCTATCAGGGCTGGCCTACCTAAATGAGGTCGGAGTGAGGCAAGGCTATGCAGTATGGTTTGTCGTTGCTGGCAGTTCGCATCGCTGCAGCAATGCAACGTTAATTTGGCTTCCAGACTCTCCAAGCCTATGCTCAATATCGCCGTTCCTGCATGACGAGGCTCTCTCTGCCTCTCTCGTGGGCTCTTACTCACGTTCAGAGTTGAGGAGAGCATTGCCGCCCGCTGGCGTCGTATCGCCGATCAAGCTCCGCCCGCGGAACCCAGTTCACGTCTTGTCGTCCGACAAATGCGTGTGCGCGTCTCCATCAAGAACCACTCATTGTATTCGTTAGCCCCCCCTTTGATGTAAGCCTGCCACGAGGCCAGCGCCAGAGAGGGCACAACGACAGCCAAGATACGACATAACCAACACCCCAGGCCGTCCAACCAAACGCAACAAGACAGTCAAGACTAGGTACTGTGTTACCTGCCAGCGCCAAGCCGTGAGCCGGCATGAAGAGGAGGCTCTGTTGATCTTGTGCTGGGATTGGTCCATGGGGATTTCTGGGGCCCTGCTACACACCATCTTCTCGTCTGGATAGCGCATGGCGACGGCCCAGGGGAGTCCCGTTTCAGATGCATTTCAGAGGTCTCAGGCCGTGCATTGCCCAGCACCAACCCTACCCATGGGTGTCCAGTGATGACTAGAGCCGCGACTACATGTTCCGCCTCTCAAACACTCAGACAGGGAGAGATGGGACTGCCCAGCCCATACAAAAGCATAAGTGATTTCCCCTCTTTCATGCTGTGCTGCCTCTTCTTGGACCTTTTCCCGCTCGACCGTTTCCACCCTTTTCTTCTTGTCAAACTTCCTTCTTCACTTCTCAACAGCGCACTGGGGGCAGCTTAGACTTATTTACCATACAATTTTTCTCTCCTTACTTTCGTCTCCTTTCTCCTCCGTCGAAACGAACCTTACGAATCTCTAACGAAACGATCACGAAAATCGACAAGATGGGTCTCATTCTTCCTCTCCGAATTGTCCAGGGTGTTCTGGCGTTGGTGATCCTCGGTCTCTCGGCCTTCAGTACGTGATGAGGAACCTATGGTGGCTAGGGTGGGAGAGAACTATGCGCTGACTGTGTGCTTGCAGTCGCCAACTGGTACAACATGGACACGATGACTTCGTCCCCGTCCCAGGTCAACTTCTTGGTCTTCGTACCGCTCTGGTCTTTCATTTCGATTGCCTACCTGGAGCTTGTTCCCAAGTTCGCTCCTAGAGGTGAGTCTCACCCCATCTTCCAAGTTGAGATTTGTTTGGAGTGAAACAAATCAACTAACACCATGTTAGCCTCCCACCCCTGGGGTGCCGTTGCCTTTGAGCTCCTGAACGTCCTCTTCTACTTCGCCGGCTTCATTGCCCTCGCCGTCTTCCTCAGCAAGCTTCTCTTCTGCCGTGGCACCGTGTGCGCTGTTGCCCGTGCCGACACCGTCTTGGCCGCCTTCGAGTTCGCCCTCTGGTCCGGCACCTCCCTCCTCATGGTCAAGGATGTTTTCAAGACGGGGTTCCGCAAGCCCAGCGCCGCTGGCCCCCCTCCTCAAATGAAGGAGTCTGCGTAAGCTACGCCGACTCCTTCAAGTCTTTCCACGTCGCCCTTGAGGAGCGCAGACGTGAGGCATCTGTGGAACTGATTAGAGCCAAGCGGATGCCGTCGTGGGACCGCAAGAGCGATCGAAAATCCATCTGGGAACTCGACCAGAGACGCATCTACGGCCCGGGATTTAGTGATGTGAACCTCGTCTAGATGACTGGTTCACACGAAACGGGAAATGGGGGAAGTAACAGCAGCGGATGTGTTTGGTGTCAATCGGTTGACACTGAACCCAAGGTACAACGGAAAAAAGTGCGTGAATCGGATACAGTTGGTTTTTGGGTTGGTCATTTTCAATAAGGACGTAGATGCTATCCGTATTATTACTATTCTATAGGCTGCGGTCTGTAGTCTTCCTACCCATAATCTCTTAGTCTTGGTTCACCTACTTCTGCCGCGTGCTACTTTGACATCGACGTTGAACAACAATCCATACGAAAGGGGTTGGTTGATACCACCACTTACATAGCTTTTCCAGGAGAACCCACGTCGGCGTTGTCATGCTACTTTCTTAAAAAAGGCATTTATTAATTTAAATCCGAACAATGATCTACCACTAAACATAGTTTAAGAGGAAGAGGCAAACAGGGAGGTCAGCGCGTATAACGACGTGGCGGTTCTTATTGGATACACTGCCGCTGGAGACCACTCGTACTGCGTATAGGGGTGCGCATTTGTACTACGTACTCAGAGTGACGGAGTGGATAAGGTAGTTTTTGGTGGGGTTGTAAATCACCGACTGGGAGTCCCTGCTTGCCCGTCAACTCTGAGCCTTCTGAAGGGTGGCTGAGTTGGGCGAGCGGCAATGCGTGTTATTGAGCTTCATTAACATTTTCATGTCCCTCCTGAAGCATATGAATTGGATTACGGAGTTGCCTCCTGTTTGAAATTTCCATCCGAGTAGACTAACTGTGCTTGCTACCTTGCATCGTACTACGGCATGCGGCATGTAGTACAGGACAAACGAGATCAGCCTACGTTTTTGGTTTGGCTGTTCCGCATGTTCTTCTTTGTTGGGGCCTTGGGATGTGATACGGGGTACTTCTGGATGAACAACTTAACGAGTCTATGTCGTGCTTTCATGTTTCCCGACTATACCCAAGGTAGCTGTTCAACAGGTCATGATTGTTTGTGTGTCCACACTTGGAGGCTGTTTCTTTCAAGCCGTTTGCGGGAAAACGATTCGACCGGTTCAATGATTTCTGATCCACACAGTTCACCTCCCCAGAGTCCACGACCGACATCCGCGGGCCGGCATCGTGAGCCGTGGGACCCGGTCGAGGTGAGGTTGTCGGGGGTGGAAGCGTTCCTCGAGTCGGCCGGTAGACGGTGTCTTGCAAAGGTAAGTCTGTCCGTGATTGCGGTGAAAAGAAATGTCAATTGGCCCCCAAACTTGCCCCCCACACGTAAATAACGACACGGTCAAGAGCTAGGCTTCCACTCTGCATACAGCAATCTTGCCTCGTATCTTTTGGTCAGCAAGACGCAGAATCTCACTGTGGTAATGAAGACAAGTCCAATGAGACGATTAGGCACTCGGTGAACCCTCGGCCGGCAACCACACCGATTGACAAGAAAACTTCTCCAAATCTCGCGGGGGGTCTAGTGGGTTTCTCTGCCTCCCGTTGCCCCTCCTTTGGTGCCATTTGCCCCGCAAAGTGACATTTCGGCGTCGATTGCGTGCTCTGGCCAAGCCCCACCCCCATTGCCTAAATCGGCGCTCTCTTCGCACCTCAAAGCTCCAAGAGCTCTCACCTCACCAGCACTTCACCTCGCATGAGCGACGAGAGAGCCAGCCGTTACTGCAGCATCGTAAAAAGATGAGAAATGTGAAAAGCTCTCATTTGTCGACGGAACCAAACTATTGGACGTTTTCCTCGGATCCAATTGGCTATTATTCAAGCTCCCTGGTAGCTGACCGCGGGATTTGGAGGGGTCCCCTCCTCCATCGGGAAACGATACCTTTGAGAAGTTGCTTCCCTGAGATAGCTACCTTACCTGGTAGACAACTTTTTCTCTTCGGTCCCTGGTGACCCTCCTTACAAGGCCAAGAGGTCAATTGCATATACATACACTCATACAACAGTCTGACCTATGGTGTGATGTCCCCTCAATGGCATCATCGTAGCTAGCCCATTTTCTCTGCCTCACTCTTCCCATTGCTGGACAACGACCCCTACTTACCCCCCTCCCCCTCCCCTCTTCCGTGCTCTTCGTTTGCCGTTGCGTACTCCGTTGCCGGCCCGTCTCTTTTGTGTGTGTCTCTCTCTCTCTTAAGCGCGTCACCGTCCCCGTTGCTCTTGTGCTCGCACACCTTTAGAGAAAACCTGCCTCCTTCCCCTCCTCATCTCTTCTCCGTGTCTCCAATTCCTCCCTCTTTCTGTATACACATTCTTTGCTAAAGAATAAAGTTAAACTTGAACAATGGCTGAAGAATTGAGCAAGAACTTTGAGACTCTCCAGCTCCATGCGGGGTACGTATGCTCTCTTTCATGACCACTGCCCACCACCACCACACCGAGCAAACATGCCTTCGGGGGAGGAAAACAACCTTCCCGTTGCTTTTGGAGCTGTTCGAGACCTGATAACAAGCTGACGTGTGGGGATTATCGTGTCTCTGTAGCCAGGAACCCGATCCAACCACAAACTCGCGCGCCGTCCCAATCTACGCGACCACGGTTCGTAAAACCTTCCCGACGACGACGAGCAACCAAGCCTTCTTCTCTCGCGAGCGCGGGCGCAAACATCGCAGTGCTGACAGCTGATCTCAATATGTGTAGAGTTTCACCTTCAATGACTCCGCTCACGGCGCGAGGCTCTTTGGCCTCAAGGAGTTTGGCAACATTTACAGCCGTATCATGAACGTACGTCAAAGTCACACTTTCCTCGACAACCTCATGTTATATAGTGTACCAAGCTCGAAAACTGACCGTGCCCTCCTTCCCACTCCTCCAGCCCACCGTCGACGTCTTTGAGAAGCGCATCGCCGCGCTCGAGGGCGGTGTTGCGGCCCTGGCCACATCCTCTGGCCAAGCCGCCCAGTTCATCGCCATCAACGCCCTCGCGCACGCCGGCGACAACATCGTCTCCACCTCGCTGCTGTACGGCGGCACATACAACCAGTTCAAGGTCTTCCTCCCCCGCCTCGGCATCCACACAAAGTTTGTCGACGGCGACCGCGTCGAGGACATCGCCGCCGCCATTGACGACAAGACCAAGGCCGTCTACGTCGAGAGCATTGGAAACCCAAAGTACAACGTCCCGGACCTCGAGGCTATTGCCAAGGTTGCGCACGAGAAGGGCGTCCCCGTCATTGTAAGTCCCCCCCCCCCCCCCTTCCGTCTCCATCGCAAGTTGCACCAACATCAGACGGCAAGCTAACACCGTAAACCCACAGGTCGACAACACCTTTGGCGCAGGCGGCTACTTCATCCGCCCCATCGACCACGGCGCCGACATCGTAGTCCACTCGGCGACAAAGTGGATCGGCGGCCACGGCACCACCATCGGCGGTGTCATCGTCGACAGCGGCAAGTTCAAGTGGGACAACGGCCGCTTCCCGCAAATGACGGAGCCCTCGGACGGCTACCACGGCCTCAAGTTCTGGGAGACGTTCGGCCCCATCACCTTCATCATCCGCGCCCGCGTTGAGATCCTCCGCGACCTCGGCGCCTCCCTGAATCCATTTGCCGCCCAGCAGCTCATTATCGGCATCGAGACCCTGTCGCTGCGCGCCGAGCGCCACGCGCAAAACGCACTCGCGCTCGCCAAGTGGCTCGAGGCTAGTGACTACGTGAGCTGGGTGTCGTATCCTGGTCTCGAGAGCCACCCGTACCACGAGACGGCTAAGAAGTACCTCAAGCGCGGATTCGGTGGTGTCTTGAGCTTCGGCGTCAAGGGCGGTGGTGATGCTGGTAGCCAGGTTGTTGACGGCTTCAAGCTCATTTCTAACCTCGCCAACGTCGGTGATTCCAAGACCTTGGCTATTCAGTAAGTTTACACCCCTTCACCATGGAGTGAGAGAGTACAGCAGACTAGAGAAAGCACTTGCTCTCCCTCTCTCTCTCTCTTTTGACCAATAATTCCACCCGCTAACCATGGCCAAAAAGCCCCTGGACCACCACCCACGAGCAGCTCTCCGACGAGGAGAAGACGAGCTCCGGCGTCAGCGAGGACCTCATTCGCATCTCGGTCGGCACGGAGCACATTGACGACATCATCGCCGACTTTGAGCAGTCCTTCAAGAATGCCTCCTCCGCGTCTACCACGGGCAAGCCCGCCCCCGCGGCCGAGACCAAGCAGGACGACGCGCCGCTTGCGCCGTAGGTCGGTGACAAGACATGCGCGCGCCTGAAATGATTGATTTCTGTTTTTTGCCTTGTTTTTTCTGCCAAATGTACGAGAACGATAAAATACCCGTAGAAAAAGCAACTTACGATTCTTGTCTTACCTGGTCGCCCTGTCTTGATCAATACGTGGCTTTGTTTGCATGGAGAGAAAAGAGAAAGCCGAAGAAACGCCATCATGCTTGAAACACCCCCTTGATCGTTCCTCGTGCAACATGATCAGAAACACACGCAAAGTTTTGACCCAGCCAAGTCACCGTTGCCCAGGCCTGGATTCCCGCGTCCGACGACGTCCGCTGTAGATGTGATAAGCAAGGGACGAGTGGCGCACATCACACATCTGCCACGCCAGTCCATGCCCGGCCCAAGCCATGAAAGATACCTACCCAGGCACACCAGGTACCGAAGATCAGAAGGAAAATGGATGCGCGTGAAAAAGTGAACCCCTCCTGATCCCTGGTGTCCATCCTCCGATAAGAAAGTTGTGTGATCAGCCCGGCCTGGCTTCCCCCCGTGGCAACTCGCAAAGCACGCAACGAAATGAAACGTGCCGACGCCACAAATTCCTAGTGGGCGGCGCGACGGCATTTTTAGTCTTCACCTTTCTTGTGTGGATATGCGAAAACACATGTTGCCGTTGCAATGCGATGGAGACCCAGTGATTTGGGCGGCAGATATTCGTGGGGGTTGATAGATACAGGAGCTGAGATGGAGTCACAAGGTTGACGGACTGACAGCTGTTCTGCGTACATACAACCCTACGAACAAACCCTCAGAATCGCGGGAACGAAGAAACGTGCGGGATCCCGACAAGGTCTGTGGTTGTAATCCGACCCGGCCAAAAACCGGCGCCGGTGCGAATAAGTAGGTAGCTCCCAACTGGAATGGGCGGGGGGGGATGTTCGCCGTCTCCACAACCCCCCCCGGCGCGCGGTAGACGACCACCGGTTTACTCCGCCAACGGACTCTGATTGGCCGAGAGAGGTTCGCTCCATTCAACGACGCCTCTTGTCTTGCTCTCTCTCTCTGTGTGTGTCCCATCCCCATCCAAGCTCCAAATCCCACGGCCCGCCGATTTTAGCTATATTCCTCGACATCCCACCTCGAAGAACATCACGGAAATCCTCCCCCCGCCCTCTCGACAAAGTCTTCTTTCGTCTCCCTTTCGTTACCCCGTCTCTTCTTGCTTGTCGTTCTTACTTCCGAATACCCTCCCTCGCCCAAGAACCACCCAACGAATATTCTCGGTCGACACCGCCCCATCTCGCAATGCGCCTCCTCGCAACCCTCGCCCTCGCGGCGACATCAGCATCCGCCGCCTCCCTAACCCTCTCGATCCCCTCCTCCCAAGCCCTCCCGAACCCCTACATCCTCCCGCCGTCAACCCACGCGACGCTCTCCTCCCTCGGCGCCACCTTCTCCGCGCCCCTGTCCGTAAAAAACACGTTCGTCTTCCACAACCTCACCGGCGGCGGCAGCGGCAGCGGCAGCGCGGGCTCCTCCTACCTCGTCGACATCCACTGCGCGACCCACGCCTTCGCGCCCCTGAGACTCGATGTCGATGCCGAGGGCGGGTTGGCGGCGTGGGAGACGTACCGCGGTAACGATTGGGATAACAAGGGCGAGGCGTATGCGGCCAAGGAGTTTGAGGGCGGTGCGAAGGGGTTTGAGGTCAGGGTGTTGGGGCAGAAGAATTATTTTGTGGAGAGGAGCAAGTGTGAGTATTTTCTCTTCCCGTCTTTTTCCCTTTCGTCCCTATGACCTCCTCTATGAATTTAATAGTGTCGGGTTTGTTTGGTGTCTATGGCGAGGAAGCCGAGCTCCCAGAGCTGTCGGCACTTTTCACGACAAGCACCTCTTTCCCGAGATATCGAAACAACCGGGGAGCACAGAAAACGCTGACAACCCAACCTCGCAGTCTCCATCCTCACCATCCTCAAGAACCCCATGATCCTCCTCGGCCTCATCAGCATGGGCATCTTCCTCGGCATGCCCTACCTCATGGACAACAGTACGTTCAGAACCCGAAACCTCTTCCCCCGTTCCTCGACGGAAAGTCATCCTAACACGAACCGTTTTTTAGTGGACCCCGAAATGCGCGCCGAGTTCGAAGAACGCCAAAAGAGCAACCCGATGAACTCCCTCCTCGGCGGCGGCGGCGGGGGCGGCGACGCGAACCCCATGGCCAACTTTGACATGGCGGGCTTCCTCGCCGGCACCGGCGGCAGCAGCAAGAAGGAAGAGTCTTCCGGTTCTGGTGCCTCGAGTGGTGGAGCTGGTGGGAAGAAGGAGAAGGGCGTGCGGAGGTAAGAGAGAGTGTCGTGGAAGAGGGAAGTAATGCGGGGGAGGCAGAGTACAATTACACGGTTGCTCAAGATTGTTATCACGGCCCCTATAAGACATGGGGTACAGCCTACGGCGCTTCTTGGACCTCGATTCCCTATAAAATACGTTTTACGAACTTTGGTGAAGTAAGGATATCGGAAGCCCATACTACCATTAACACTTTCTTGCGTGTCATTGGGCTGGTGATCATGCCTTACCTCGGGCAGCCCAGGTATACGTGAAACCGTCCGCAACACCGGTTCTCGTCACCAGCACAGTAGGCACCCGTTTATGTGGGCGGGTCAGGTCAGACTACGACGGTGGAGTGGTTGAAGCAACGTATACTCCAAGGAAGTCGAGGTGGCGCCGGCCGAGAGGCGCGAGTTGAGTGGTCCGTATCCGTCATTGCCTACTTATTTTCGTGTTTCTGTTCTGTTACTGATAGTAGTATCAAGATTGGATCTGCAATGCTACAAAGATATATTCGTCGTCACACAGGCTGATGCATCATAGCGTTCGTCTGAAAAGGCAAAGAGACATGATGTTCAAATGCAACAGGGGCTCTTTTTACTCATGAGAAGAACGCATATTAGACGCAGCGATGCCCCCCTGAAACCCGCCCTAGTCCACCCCTTTACCTGCCAACCATTCTCTCATGATCCATTTAGTAAGGTACGTTAAAATAAGCTGGCCGTAATCCAGTATCAGTCACTTAGAAGTCACCTCCAAAGTCGTCACCACCGCCGAAATCATCATTGTCCTGTCCGTCGTCTGTACCAAAGTTAGCAATTATTCAAATATCAAGCCTTAGACTCAAAGGGTGCAACTTACTGTATCCATCAGCGTACGCCTCCTGCTGCTCATCATTGATGTGATCCGCAATCAGGGCACCACCAAGCAGACCGGCACCGGCACCGAGCGCAAGACCGCCCGCCATACCCATGCCGCCGCCGCCGGCTTTCCGACCGCCGCCCATTCCACCCATTCCACCCATGCCCCGGCCGTAGCCCTGCTGCTGGGGATATCCGCCATAGCCCTGCTGCTGAGGGTATCCTCCGTAACCCTGCTGAGGCGGATAGCCGCCATATTGCTGCTGAGGGGGGTAACCGCCATACTGCTGCTGGGGCGGGTAGCCGCCGTATCCTTGCTGCTGTGGGTACCCTCCGTACTGCGGCTGGGCGTGGCTCGAGCTGCCCATGCCGCCTGTCTTGGCCTTGCCCAGCAGCTTGCCCAAGAAGCCGCCGGAGCTCTTTCCCCTTGTCTCTTGCGCGCGGGGCGGGAGCTGGTCGGGGAACGGCGACTGCGACTGCTGGTGCTGCTGCTGCTGGAGGTTGTAGCCCGGCGGCATAGGGGAGTGGCTGCCGCCGCCGCCGCCGCTACGAGCGCGAGCTTCCTCCTCGGCCTGGAGCTGGCGGGCTAGGCGCTCGTCCTCGGACATTGTGTTGGAGCCGCCTGCGCCGGGCGGCTGCGGGGTCGAGGACTGGTTCTCGTAGGGGTTGCCCTTTTGGTCGTAGGGGTTGCCCTTTTGGTCGTAGGGGTTGTGCTTTTGGTCGACCGGCGGCGTCGGGTGGTCGCCGGGGCGCGGGGCGTAACCCGGAGGGGGGCCGCCCGGGTGCCCGTCTTCTGCTGGTGGGGGAGGGGGAGGGAGGGCAGGCTCTGTCGGCTTATCCCATTGAGATTGTTTGGTGTGGAGGTTTACGTAGAACCTGGAAGTGCGCTTGTTAGCGTCGGCGAGCATAATGAAAGAGAGACAGATAGTTATTGAGGTAGTGATGTCTGGGCTTACCATTCTTTGTACTGGTCGTTCCATCTAGCGATCCAGCCGGGAGGAACCTCGGGGGCCTTGGGAGGCGGGGGACCCGACGGGGGAGCGAAATCGTCGGCCATGTGTAGTATAGTAAAGTCAGGCGCAGAAGTGGTAATGCTGCTCAGATGCGATTAGAACTTCTCGGTGGTGCGAGACCTTTCAATCGATCGATGTGGTTCGGGGTAGATTGTTTGGTGTAGGTGAATGAGTTGTGGGCGTGTATATCTATGCGAATGGACAAACAAAGTTTCTTAGTCTCGACAGCTACTTCAGATAACTCGAGAAATCTTTGTAGAGGGAAAAAGGTACCAGTGTTCGAAGTTGGGATGAGATGGGATTTTGGGGGAAGGGAAGAGGGAAAGTATTGCCTCCTACCTCTTACCGCGGGGTGTCAGGTGTTGTAATGGGGAGGCGCAATAGGTCGATTGGAGCTGAGCGCGGAGGGCCGGGATTACGTCTTTCAGTTTTGGAACGGTTCCCTTCCCCCTCCTCTAGCTAACCGGAGGGAACCTAGACTGCGTACCCAATAACACCCCGATGTTTCCGCTGCTCCCGCCTTCCAGAGGCATCTTGGCGGATAATTAGTGGAATAAGGAAGTAATTCACCGAGGCTTCGTGTCTTCACTCACTGAACCTGGCACCTTCTCGAACGGTACGGCGAGCATGGAGATCACAGTCGCTGTTGTCCGTCGTGTCGATGACATGATGTGCTGGCAAGGTCCCAAGCTTGGATAGAGGACAAGAGGCACAAAGGGTACGGATAGCTAGACAATTACCTACGTAAGGCAAAGTCAGATCGCAGCCGGGCTCTAGTCCCCTTCGATCCCGTTTCTCGAAGCTGCTCTCACTGCCACTGTGTGCCTATCTCGCCTCTTCCAGTCCAGTCCAGAGTCCAGTCCCATCCTGCGGGTTCCATCTTGGCTATGCTGCAACAGCATGATGCGAGCTGCTGCGAGCTGCAAAGCACAGCCCCTCCCTCTCCGCTGATGCTTGTCCAGCGGATTTACCTAGGTGCCCCTCACGCCGCCGCCCCTCACCTGTGGCCCCCCCGCCCTCTCATACCTCTCTGCCAGTGGCCACTCTGCCTGCCTGTTCGCTTTCCCACTGCGACCCGGGATGCCGGAGAGCCGATACGCAAGGCAAGGTATCCGACAAGTCCCTCTGCAGCGTAAAACAAGCTTTCTTATACCCCGACGGTACCCCTCCCCGTCTGCAGTAAAACCGATTCCCCTCCAAAAAAGCCACCTCAGGTCCAACTGGAAACGTCTCGCACAGGCCCGTCAATGATGGAGCCCCAAGGTACCGAGGAGTTTGACCCTTCGCTCCAGTGTTCTGATACCTTGTTAATAAGGTACTTTCTTTGAATCTTTGAATGGATGGCAAACAAGTAATCATTGACGACGCACAAAAACTGTGGCTGGTGACATTTTTACCCTCGTAGTCTAACTCATCATATGGCAAAGTGACTCTTCTGCCTGCTTGACAATCGAATAGACGGAATCATCAGGCGAGGTACAGGTGACCCAGCCCATCTCTTCCCACGGTGTGGCGGTGCCCTCCAATACCTGATCATCAACTTCAACCCTCGGGTCGTGATGCTCACACATACCAAAGAGCAAAAGTGAGAGGGTCAACAACCAAGCCCCCTGCGCCAATGCTAGCCCATTTCCCCCATTCCGCTTCGTTTCCAAGAGAACCACTTCTCCCGGGCGAAGGCGTTGACCTTTGGGGATTGCGAAGACACCTGTGGCGCAGCATATCTCAGGTTCTTGGCATTGTCATTTCCAACTTCATGGGCCCAATTCAGCAACTCACACAGACGTACAAATCCACAAAGGCCGGTCATCAGGTTCATCACCATATAACGAGGAAGAAGTGCCACCAAAAAAAAGCAAGGTTCCATCGAAAAAAGGGCCCTACCCTCAGGCGTCTATCCCATCTAGACACATAAGCACGCTAGCGCAGGCAAAACTCCTGGTTCCTCTCAAGTATACAATTTCTCCAAGTGCTGTAACAAGCAAAAACAATAACTACAGGTATCGTGAGTAAGACCTGCCTCATGGCAGGCCTCTCTCGTCCCGTCTCCTCTCTCCAAAGAGGTAGGCCGCCTCCATGCAGTAGGCGCCACCTCCGCTGGCCATCCGCCGCTCGCTGCCGTAGCAGATGACGACCGCATCCAGAATGCCACTGAGAATACCTTCCATGGCGCCCATGACCGAAAATCCAATAAAACTGGCTACTATGCCAACCACGTATGCGTACGCCGAGCCCCGTACCCCCATTCCGTCCGGCAGAGCGATAGAGAGCTGCTTCGCCGTCATGACCCATCCTGCAAAACCGAGTCCCGTTGCCATGATGAACCGTGTCGCATATAGAAGCATCTTTGCGAGCCGATAAGGAAGTAAAGGGGAGTGACTGGATCGCCGTGTGCTGAACACATGCGGTGTCAGGGTTGTCGTAGGGCGTTGTGGGGACAAGAAGTCCATCTGGCTGAGGCCGCGAGCCGCCGTGTGGAGATTCTGGGAGTGAATCGCTCCGTAGGTTATGGTGAGAGGGTTCGTGAGCGCTGCGATGGGCGTCGGAATCCACATGGCAGCAATGTGCTGCAGGATATTAGCCATCCTGCGTGGCAGCACGAGCAGCGGCGCCCGGATAAGCAGCGCAATCAACGTCGACTCGCAGATGCTGCCAAATATGGTCGTCGTCGCGTGGTTGAGCGCGGCCGTGACAATCTCCGCCGACGTTGGGGCCGGCGCCGCGTTGCGGTGGAAATACCATTGGGATACTGTCGCTGCTGTAGTCGCCCGTTGCACCGCATTGATGACTCCAATCGTCCACATGTACATCAGCACGAACCAGATACCCAGCCACCAGCTGGACACGCTGATGATGAACCTGGCAAGTCTTCTGGAGAAGTATCCTCCCAAGAAGATTCTCGAGAACATCCACATCCAGACCCAGGTCCACGACACTATGATTGCGAGACAGCTGAAACCCAAGATGAGGAGTGCCGTGTTTGCTGCAAGAATTCTCGTGGAGAACTCCAATATCTCAATCGCCTGACGGATGGCGTTGCGGCCCTGCCAAGCCATGTACACCCAGACACAGGCTGCGATGCCAGGGACAAGAGCAGCCCATCGCATCGCTCGATCTTGGAAGCTGGCCCCATGTGATCTGCCTTCATAGCTAGAAATAAAGGGGTATAGTGTGAATGAAAACATGATGATGGGTACTGCAACAAGAATCACCATTGCCACCGGCCTGGCAAAGGATCGAAGCGCCGCGAGCCACACAAAGGATACCAGGATCGAAATGAGAGTATCCACAGCGAGCATGTGAAAGGATGCTTGTAATGTTGTATAGACGGTGTCACCCCATCCCTTCTTGGGCGTGCCTGTGTGTAGCCAGACAAGCACAAATGTAGACACCAGACCGGCAAGCGCAATAAGGAAGATCCAGGCAAAGAACGGGTCATACTTGAAGAGTTCTCCTTCGATCAGGGGGACAGTGGCAGGCAGGGCCTCATCGTCGGAGCTGGCCCGGCGGGCCTCGTCAAAGTCATCTTCTCGAGTAGCTTCCCTCCTCAGTGGGAACTTGCGGTCTCCGGACTTGGATTGAAACTTCTGGAAGGCGGGCGGGCTCGAGTCCGTGGCCGCCTCGTTCAGCAGCGACGCAGATGGGTCGTCGTCGTCCATGATCTGGGAATCTAGCCCAATGTCGACCATTTTAGGATTCGTATCTGACTCCCGGTCGGAAGTTTCTCGCGGGACATCCTCCGACTCTTCGTCTATGACATCCCTCCCACGATTCCGTCCACTGAAGCTCCTCGTACCGTTCCAACTGCTGCGAATACCTCTCCGCAACCCGCGATCCTGGTATCTTCGGCCCGGTGTTTCGCTGCTCTGTTCCAACGAGCCGCGGCTAGCGTCTGGTTCCGTCTCGGAGCTCTCTGCCATCTTGCTCGCGGCGGCCACGCGCCGAGACATGTGGAGGGCGGCCATATCCGCAGCCTCGCGATCCCTCTCGTCTTCTTCGTCCTCCTCCATGTACTCATCGAGCGTGCTGTGGAATAGCGGTGCATCCTGGGCGGCGGACATGCGGGAGGCAAAGCCCATTTGACCATAACGCGAACCGCCCGTCTGGTAGGGGTTTCCTCCGTAGCCTCTACCTAGGAAGGAGCGCCCGCCATTTCGAGGAGGGCCTCGCGATGACCAGTCGTTCGGTTGTCGTGGTGGGTTCTCATTGCCTTGATCTTGGCCCGCAAAGTTGGACAGTCGGGACTGTGATTGCGCCAGAAACCTGGACGCATCTGGGGGCGAGTCAGTTAGTTGACCGCCATCGCTGGGCGTCGCCGAGGATGGTTCAGCAGCGGTGTATGAGACTTACATTCCGAGAACATGGTGCTACCGATAGCGAGGACCTTGTCCCCTCAGAAAAAGTTTGCGTTCTCTTGGGAGGTGGCAGAACAGGAACGCGGGACGTCGGGGCAAATAAGTGTCGGGCTGGCGAAGGTCCTATGAATGATGATGCCGGACAAAGAGTGAACGGCTGGAATGTTTGGGTGCCGGCGGCGGCGGTGGACACTAATGGTATACGCAAACAGAACGTTGGAAAGAGACGGGTCGACGGCAGTTCCTGCGGATGGCCTATTCTTGGACCGGAGAGAATGCCACCTTTGAGATAAGGTAAGGACAATAATTCTGATCAAGCCCGGAGAGCTCGTGAGAAGGGCATCTGCACCGGGTTCTGGGAAGAGATATGAATCAAAGGTCATGCGGTACGGACGAAGAGGTGAAAGGTGCCTAGGCCGGTGAGTGACTGATGGAAGTGGACCGGGCCAGTGAGGGAACTAGGTGGGAAAGTACATGGATGGCCGGGGGGGTTGCCTTCTGGGATGCCCGTGGAAATCCCACCACCCAAGGTACCTACCTACCTTAGGTAACCCAAGGCTTTACCCGCCTGTTGCTGTTAGGCAGCGCGGACGCTGATGCAGCCTAAGCAGTGGCACACAGATGGCACACGACACCTGCGACACCGCCCACACGACAATGACAAGGCACCTTTTACCTGTGAACCCTTCCTGCCGGGTACCTACCTCACTAACAATCCAGCCACTCACAACGTCGATACCTGGGGAGGCAGGCAAAGCAGGGGAACGTGGGAGCCACCCACGGGCTGCGGCCGGCACTCATCGGACTTATCGTGGTGGGCGATATGGCGGTAAGTTGGCGGATGCATTGCAGCATTGCAGCATTGAGGGCCCGGATTGCCTGAGATGCCATGGCTGCGGGTTGGCGGGCTCCTCCCAGTTCCATGTTCGCCTTGATCTAGGAACTCCGAGAAGCGCATAGGTATCCGTACTCCATACAGCATGAACCCAAGGGAAAACCTACATGAGCTAGAGCACGTCTTTCAACTTGTTGCACCTTGTTTTTTTTTCTAATGCAGTTATGGCATCTGCTTCTCATACCCAGTGGAGCGAGTACTTCAGGCATTGCGGTTCTTCTGCCCGCCGTCTTCCATTCTTTTCCTACCTCATGTGTATTGTGAGATTCCAAAGACTCTTAACTGCTGCTTCCTGCATGGCACTGACATGTCCTGGCGCAAGACCAGCAACTAAGAAGGCACTTGGCCCGAATGAACTCCAGTCCCGAGTCATGCAGTCCTGAGTAAGTCTGTCATTTCCCCAATTATCGTCAACTGACAATCACCACAGCTGGTCGCTGTTATTTGTTGCTGATGCTGCTGCTGCTACCTTACCTAAGGTACCTAGGTATTGGTACTCTACGAGTCTGCGCAAACAAGCGGCTCGCCTTATCGCTAAGCACTTGCGTCACTGATAACACCATGCCAAATCCCTGCCGCCCTTTCCCTGGTCATCAGTCCTGTTTAAACTGGGGCTCTGTCGTCTTCTCAGGTCTAGCCTGTGACAGGGGGAGGGGACGCCATCTTAAACACTGACCAGCGTGATGCAACTCCCCATTTCTTGCAGAGCAGCACACTTCCATCTCCGATTCCACCTCCCAGAGATCCTTTAGAAAGCAGTTCACACAACCTAAACCGAAGGTCATCTTGCACTTGGATAAGAGAGAGGTCGCCATCAAAGTCATTCCCGAGGTCCAAACATCATTTCTCGGGAACCACGCGGACACCGAACATTGAGAACAGACGACATCCCTTCTCTTGCCAACCGTTTCCCAAACATCCCACTCAATTCGCCCGTCTCCCTCAATCGGAGCCGACGCAACCCCCCCCTCCCAGTGCCCAGTGTCCACCCCTTGTCGGACGTGAACTTCTGAACACGTGCTCCGATAACCGACAGCTGTTTGAAGCTTTCCAACATCAGACCAACCGACAACCACCAACAACACCACCACTGCATTGCTAAACCACAACCATACACGGTCCCCTTCCATTCCACCTCTTCGAAACCATCCGTCACCAGCAGAAACGGTCTCCCGGGCCAGTCGATAGAGACAATCGAAAAAAGCAAACGGCGCAGCTATCTATCTGCCTGGAAGCGAAAAACCACAGACCTCTGCATCGAACCTCGCTCACACGCACATACTTCCTCCTCCTCCTCCCATCTCCTCCCACCTCCCGCGAAGTCACAGACCGCGAAGGGCCATGTCGTCTCCACCATGGGACTACATCGCTAAACTCGTCTGCATCGGCGACTCGGGCTGCGGCAAATCCTCCCTCACCATCCGCCTCTGCGAAGGCCGCTTCTCCCCGCACCACGACGTGACAATCGGCGTCGAGTTCGGCTCCCGCATCGTCCCCGTCGGCCCCCCCAACACTCTCCCACCCCCTCCCCCGGCCCCGGAACCAAAGACGAACCCGGACGGCAGCGCATCCTCCGCCGGCCTCCCCGAACCCCCGCGTATTTCGGCCACCGCCGCAGACCAAGGGCCCCAGAAGCACATGAAGCTCTCCCTCTGGGACACCGCCGGCCAGGAAACTTACAAATCCGTCACGCGCTCCTACTTCCGCGGCGCCAGCGGCGCCCTCCTCGTCTTCGACCTCAGCCGCAAACAAACCTTCCAGCACGTGACCGACTGGCTCAACGACCTGCGCCAGATCGCCGAGCCCGACATTGTCGTCATCCTCGTCGGCAACAAGGCCGACCTCACCCAGGGCGAGGACGGGGACGGCAATAACAAGCGCGAGGTGACAAAGGACGAGGCCGAGGAGTGGGCCAGGAGGAATGGCGTCTTCGAGTACGTCGAGACGAGCGCAAAGAGCGGCGAGAACGTCGAAAAGGCGTTTATGCGCGTCGCCGAGAGGATATACAATAACATCCAGGCCGGGAAATACGACCTCAATGATCGGAGGTCTGGCGTCAAGGGGCCGAGTGCGGGGGGCAATAAGCAAGTGAGGATAGGGGGCGACGCCAATAAGGGCTCCGCCGGCGGCTGTTGTTAGATGTGCCGCGAAACGAACCAAAAACAAAAGCATACACGAGAAGGATAGTGATACCCAAACGACCATTAGCAGCAGCTTTTTTCTTCTTCCTTCTTTCGCATTCAGCAACCTCCTTTGTACTACTACGCTTTTTTGTAATTATAATGTATGGTCAATGGGCTGGTCAACTCACGATGAGAGAAGGAAATAGTAGGAACAAGGAACAGATTTCATATTGCATTATGTACGGAAGTTGTTATCCCGTCAACTTTGGCTTTTCCCAAAGCTCGAAAGGCCCCCATCTTGCCACCGTTTTTATCGCCCATATCCTTACAGAGAGTGAAAGAGTTGGGTAGAAAAGCCGAATCGTAAAAAACCTCGGCCGTTCAAGTGCATGATTCCCCGTGGAGGAATCGTTCTAATACAATCTTTGGTTTGACTCTTTGTCAGATTTAGTCAGAGATTCTCCAGCTGTCGAACCACTTCAAGTAGCTGTACTGCTTGTTGTTGCCCGTCATGCCGAAGCAAATGGGGCTGAAGAGGATGTAGAGACCAATGATGGTCGCGTACAGGACGCCGTACACTCCATACTGGAAGACCTGGTTCTTGTTGCGGAGGAACCAATCGGCCAAAAAGCCAAAAGTAAGGATAGCGAAGTACAGCGCAGGGTAGTAGTGGTGAACGTAGGTGACACGAGCCATGACGACGAAGGGGAGGTAGTGAAGGAACCAGCCAGCTACGGGGTACAGGCCGGCGTAGTGGATCTGGTCAATCTCCTTCGAGTTCAGGTCGTTGTAGCCGCGTTGCCAGCGGATCAAGTACCAGACAACGACGAGCCCGAAAACACCTAGGCCGGCGGTAGAGCCCCAGTAGACCAGAGGGTTGCCGAGGAGGAAGTACTTGACAATGTTGTCATCCCAACCACACATGCGCAGACCGACATTGAGAATGGGCCACTGCCACCATTGCGAGGCCAGGTCGTCTTGCTTATCGGGGTCGGGCACAAGGGCGTTGTTGGAGGTCATCATGGCAACGTTGAGGTGGATGAAGTCGTGGAGGAAGGGGGACTTGTAAGAGCCGGGGTCACCAGGGGGAACTATGCTAGTTAGCAAGCTGAACAAGATAGACAGGATTCATAGCTTTGACTTACGCTTCTCGTTCCAGTGTGCCTCGACGTTCCAGTGGGTGTACGAGTCTCTGGGGTTATTGGTCTTGGTGCAGGTCACCTCAATCTGCTTGAAACCCCACTGAGGCAGGTTAACGTTACCAGCGCGGAGGTAGCAGCCAAGGACCGGGTGTCTCAAGCGGAATGCCGTCGTCAGAGTGCGGATTCTGCTGCGATCACGGGAGGCGACATCACGAACGACCTCGACAGTCCAGTGGTCCTTGTCGTCACCAATAGTCAAGTTGCCGTAGCTGGAAACTTCCTTATCGGACTTGGTCATAGGAGCAGCGATCTCGTGGGAGTGAAGGTTGCGGCCGGTCTGGGCGTGGATGAGACGGATCGTCTCGCCGTCGCCAATGAATCGGGGAGGGGCTTCGGCGTCGTAGTCCGCGTCCGCACGGTTAGGGTAGAAGAACCAGTCGTTGTTGGCATCCTTGTGGTGGTAGCAGGTGACCTGCTGCTGATTAGAGCCCTCGGGGTATGTCTGGACGTGGGAGTGCAAGAGGCCACCACCGTATCCCATGTTCTTGATGGTCGCGCGCGATCCGTAGGCGATTTCCAAGGGGCTGTTCTTGCCGACCTCAGTGCCCTTCAAGTTTGCCTGGAATAAAGAGCTCATTTGCGCATCACCGGGACCAGTGTGGTCCAGAATGGCAAAGTGGAGGGCGAAAGAGAGCATGTAGACCAGGAACGGAACGATAATGAGGCCAACGACGCGGGTGACAACGTGGGCGCCCAGTGTGGTGACGGGCATCTTGGTGTTGCCGAACTTGGTCCAGAGATCCTCAATGGTGTACAGGCCGACGAGGGAGGTGACGAAGAGACCGACG